CCTAATCCAATCGAAAATAATTTTGTGAATAATACTGTCAAACCTACTTCACAACATGTTGCCTCACAGTCTTATACAAAAAAGTTTGTGCCAACTTGTCATTTCTGTCACAAAGTAGGACATGTTAGGCCAAAATGCTTTAAAAGATGGAAATTGATAAATAAGAGTTTAGCATATCAATCATCCAATTCCGCTGCATGGGATCACAATTCCCAAAGAAGATACTTTGATAATAAATGGATGAATAAGTATAATGCAAACTGCTTTCCTGCTATTCTTTCTTTAAAAGCATGTACTACGAACTCTTGGTATTTTGATAGTGGTTGCTCCAAGCATATGACAGGTGTACCTAATTACTTGAAGAACCTGCATAATGTGTCTGGTGGACAAGTTACTCTTGGTGATGGAAACAAGGCCTTTGTGAAAGGAGAAGGTAACTTGGATGTTGGAGGATTACCTAACCTTGACAACGTTCTGTATGTAGAGGGTTTGAAATCAAACCTACTCAGCGTAAGTCAGCTATGTGATCTATACGACTCAGTGTTGTTCACCAAGCGTAAGTGTGAAGTGTTTGATCGAAACCACAGGTGTGTTCTATCTGGTTATAGATCCTCTGATAATTGTTATAAAATTGATCAAACTGACCAAGTTGAACAGTGTCCCCTCACCACCTCTGATATCACAGATATGTGTTGTCATCGACTGGGGAATTTGAACTTTCAGGATCTAACACGAAATATCAATGCAGGTTGTGTGAAAAGTGTTCCCCAACTAAACTCCAATACACCAGATTTATATGGCGACTTTCTAATGGGGAAGCAAACTGAGAGCATTGGAAGAGAAATACCAGAAGACAAAATCACAGAAGTATCAGTGCCGACATCTGATGTCACAACTGAAGACGTTACCACTGGTAAAGAAGGTATGAAAACTTGCAATAAGCTGAAGGTTGACTACCAGGAAATGGTCAGGTATGTCTATTTCACTTCCACTGTAGAACCAAAAAACATCAAAGAAGCAATTCTTGATGAATTTTGGGTGTTAGCCAAGCTTGAAGAACTTGAGCAGTTTTCTCGAAATGACATGTGGGAACTGGTTCTGAGCAATGACAAGGTAAAGCAACTAGAGGATGGTGTATTTATCTCACAGAGCAAATATGCCAAGAACGTGGTAAGTAAATTTGGGTTGCAAAAGGCAAAGCCTTTAACAACACCAATGACCTCAATTGAGAAGTTGGGACGAGATTGTGATGGCACAGACGATGATTCCACACTATACAGGAGCTTGATAGGAAGTTTGTTTTATCTTTCTGCTAACAGATATGATATTCGTTTCAGTGTAGGTATTTGTGCTAGGTACCAAGCAAGCCCTAAAGAGAGTCATTTGAGTGCTGTAAAGCGCATTATCCGATATGTTAGTGGAACACCCGAATTGAGAAAATGGTATTCAAAAGATACTAACAATTGTCTTGCAGGGAACAGTGATGCTGACTGGACAGGAGATGTGGATAACAGAAAAAACATCACAGGAGGTTGTTTCTACATGGGTAACAATTTGGTATCTTGGTACAGTAAGAAACAAAATTCCATTTCCTTATCTAATGCTGCGTGTGAATACATAGCT